AAGGAGAACAAACATGAGAGACAGAGTAGAAGAGCAGAACCAGCAGCCACCTAACGAGGAACCCACGAAGACAGCCAGTCGCTTTCAGACCAGCCATCAGTAATTGCACGTGTGGTGGGAGGTATCTGGAAGACATATAAGAAATGTATGACAATGGTACTCTGAGATACTGGGTTAAACTGTGATTTAAAAAGTGTCATGATAACTGAATCCTTCAGAAAAGCTTTACAACAAAAGGACTGCAGTGTCAAGGGAGCTTGACACTTAGGGGCTGATGGTGGAAGATGTTGGCAGGAGAGCTTGCGGCCCGCAGGACTGCGGTGCCATGGGAACTTGAGGCCTCGAGTTCCCAGACCATCAGACTCTAGTCCCATTTGTCGCCAGGTCATCAGACACTCTCCGGTTGACCTCTGGGGCTTCGTATGGAGTCCCGTTGGACTCCGGCTGACCTCCGGGGCTTCGTATGGAGTCCCGTTGGACTCCGGCTGACCTCCGGGCTTCGTATGGAGTCCCGTTGGACTCCGGCTGACCTCCGGGCTTCGTATGGAGTCCCGTTGGACTCCGGCTGACCTCCGGGGCTTCGTATGGAGTCCCGTTGGACTCCGGCTGACCTCCGGGGCTTCGTATGGAGTCCCGTTGGACTCCGGCTGACCTCCGGGGCTTCGTATGGAGTCCCGTTGGACTCCGGCTGACCTCCGGGGCTTCGTGCCGAGTCCCGTTGGACTCCGGCTGACCTCCGGGGCTTCGTATGGAGTCCCGTTGGACTCCGGCTGACCTCCGGGGCTTCGTATGGAGTCCCGTTGGACTCCGGCTGACCTCCAGGGCTTCGTATGGAGTCCTGTTGGACTCCGGCTGACCTCCGGGGCTTCGTGCCGAGTCTTTTTGCACCAATATTGCATGTTCTCCCCATGCTTGTGTGGGTTCTCTCCGGGTACTCCGGCTTCCCCCCAAAGTCCAAAAGTATGAGTGTTAGGTTAATTGATTTCTCTAAACCCATCCTTAGGTGTGGATGTGTGTATGCCTGGTTGTTTTTCAGCTGTCTGTCTCTGTGTTGCTGGCGACCTGTCCAGGGTGAACTCCGCCTCTCGCTGGAGCAAGATACCTCCCAGATCTCCCATTTTTGGTTTGAAGGTTTCCTAAATAAATCTGTTAGCATTCGTAGCGGGAACTGAACTCCAGTATTACGCCAAGCCCTATAGCTATTGCAAAATATCAACAACATCATCTTAGTATTGGAGAGTTATGTCCCGAGCTCTCACGTGAATAGTTCATCATTTTGAACAAAAATATGCAGCAGTGCTGAGACATCGTCTGCTGTTCTGATTTAGCCAAGTAGGATTGACGACCGCTCCAAGATGGCCACCGTGTTTCCTGCCTCCCAGCAGTCAATGCGGAGCCTATTTTTTTATTATGTCTGTGGGTTGAGCGGTTAAAGCCGTTTCTCAGCCTACATTTCCCAGAATGCAGTGTGGTTCTGGATCAGAGTTCAGTGAATATTCTTTAATACAGTGGACCAACCCTGGTCCTCAGAAACCGCTGTCCTGCATGTTTTTAATGAGTCTGGACTCCAACACAACTGATTCATATGACTGCATTTACTTCTTAGCATTCCTGAAATTTTTGCAGAAGCTGATTAATCACATTTTCATTTAACCCAGGTGTGCAGCAGCAGGGAAATGCCTAAAATATGCAGGAAGGTGCTGCGAGAAACTGATGGAATCATTGTTATTATGAGAGAAAAGGTCAACTCCAGTATTTTATTTATACATTTCAAACCTTAAATGAGGGCTTTGGGTCAGGATTCCCACTGAAGGTCATGAAACAGTTCAAAAACTGACCACTTTTGACACATTCTGCAGGAATAACAAGATATTATTTACAAATATATTAAAAATAATACACTAGCTGCTGGTTTTCTGAGTCAACTTTTACCATTTTAGGCAATTTTCCCTTCTGATGATTAATATTTTTTGAAGGGCAATTTTGTTTACAGAGACATCAAAATCCATTTTACTTATGGTTTCAGTTTTGTTTTTGGTTGTTGTGTTTTATTTTGGATATTTAAAATATCTTCCAGTTCTACTGTAGAGATTTTGTGTGAAATTGAGAGGGCAAACTTCTCAATTAGCAATATGAATATCTTCCTGAAACATGCTCTCAAAACAGCAATATTATCATTTATCGCAATAATTTATTGGGTAAATTATCATACTGCAATAGTTATTTAAAACTGCTATAAAACTAGTCACAATACAAAATAATGGCAAGTTATGGAATAACTTGATTTGATGAGTAAAAGACAGTTTGTTGCTGAACGTCAATCCCTCTGTCACAAGAACGTGTACTAAATTGAAAATTTAAGTTTTCACAAAATTTAAATTTAATATGATTACATTTAATGAGCATTAAATATCTTTGTACTCAGGATCAGTGTTTGCTTTAACAATGAGTCAAATGTTGAAAGAGTTTCTGCTTCATTTTGCTCTCGAAATTATTATATTTACTTTCTTCTGTTTCTCTTCACTGCAAAAATACAAAATGTTACCAAGTATTTTTAGGCTAGTTTAACATGCAAGTATATCAGTACACCTTTAATACAATAAAATATGATTTTTTTGTGTGTGTGGATGTGGCCATTCACGCTGCTAAATGATGCAATCACAATAAAACTTGTGGTTTACGACACCAGCGCAGAAGAAGACGCATTATTTGCAGAAGTAATAATTACAGGAGCCGTTTACGGATCAGTTTCAGTTATTCAGCAATAGGAACCAACAATATTGTCACAAAGATTGTAAACTAATAAAAATAAAGCTGTTAGTACTATTGTACTAATAGCAACAATCTTCTGTAGAGAAGTCTGTTTGGATGCGCAGACAGAACCAGAAGTGGAGAGACTGTGATGTGAAACGCTTCAGTGACGCAGATTTGTCACTTAATTTAATAGTAATAATTTTCAGCCATTGTTTACGTTCACATTTATCATGTCTGGTTTCTTCCTGTGCAGAATTATGATCCAAATATGATAAAATGCAGCATAACCGTTCAGACTGCAGATGATATAAAATCTCCCATTAAGTATGGAGATATGGAAGTGCAAAAAATTTGATTTTTTTTAGCAGTTGAAAAGATTGGAATCAGGCTGTTCAGACTGAAATGAAAAAGTTAGATACGAGTTAAAAAGGGGGGAAAACAGATTTTGGTCTCATTTGGCTGCTGTATGAATAAACATTTCATCCACCACTACGCTGAAAAGACAAAAGTAATCGGTTGTGCTCCAAAAATAAAGGTTATAGAACGTTCAATTATCCTCAACAAAGATAAAAATAAGAGAATGAAAGAAACAACCACAGTGTTGTTTCTTTCATTCTCAGATCTAAATGAATAAATGGTTTCCTTTTGAAATGGTACAAAGAATCATTCAGACTCATCCCGAAAGTGTTGACTCCTCTCAATAAAGACTAAAACAAAAAACAATACTATTTAGCTTTCCAACAATGTTTCTGGTCAGAAAGTCTCCATCAAGCATTGACACCCAAACAAAACTCAATTCAAATCCTAAGCAATTATACGGCCACAAATCATAAAAAGCACAAAAACAACACGTGGAGTTTAGCATCTCTGCTAACTTTATCACTTCAAGCTAACCGCACGAGGAAGCTGGAGGCCAGCCTGCTGACTGACCCACAGAAACTGGAACATTAAGCCAAAAAACTCAGTCATGCAGCATGTTTTAACGTTGCTGTTTTGTGGTTAAGATTCAGACTCTAAATCGAGATCTATTTCAGATTTTCCACTATTAATCTGCTGTAGTTTTGCAAATGAATCCCAAAAACCTGCTAGCTTTTATATAAAATTAGAAGATTTTAGACATTTTAAGTGTTATTTTTCTGTTTTGCTGAGTAAAAGGTCGCATATAGGTGTACAAAAATAAAAATTACAATAGAAAACTTCTGTTGTATGGTGTTATTAGGATTAAAAATAAGACCATACAACATATTGCTCTAAAATTAGAGCAATATGTGTCATAAACAGATTTTCTATTAAGTGTTAAAAGTCAAATGCCATACATAGAGCCAAAGTGTTTCCAAATGGCAAATTTTCCTTTATTCCTTGTAGAAATAGCTAACATCTCTGCAGACCACACACATGCTGAACACAAACTGTTCCAATGTTTACCTTTGCGTTGGAGCTATCGAGTGAAAACCAGCAGTTGGAGACAGTTTCTTCCCCCAGGCTGTCTCTCTGATCAACATTATGAACATTACCTGCCTAATGTCCCTCGACTGGGAAACAAAATGAAAACACACAAAAAAATCTACCTTCTGTTTTTTTTTTAACTAAAAATACAAGCACACGTTGGTATCCTTTAATTTAGAAACCAGTCACAAAGTGAAGCTGAAAAGTGCCATTTAGGACGGAAAAAGTTTAGAAATTAACCAAAACTGCCCGAGATGCAAGGATATGAACCACTAAATATTAAAAACACTGCAAAAACACAATATCTTACCAAGTAATTTGGTCGTTTCCACTGTAAATTTCTTAGTACACTTGTACTCATAAGTGAAATAATCCGCCAATGAAACTATGACTAGATATTAAGGAATTATTGGCTTACAATAATCTCCCATATCCTACTGGGAAGATAAGTTTTCTTTTACTTCAAGCGATTCAACTTGCGTCCGAAAACGAAACAAACGTGGATTTAAACCGTGAATATTCTCGGTTTGTCGGACAGAAGCTCTCGGGCTGAAGCTGCTGGAGTGGAGGGGCATTTTCAGCGATCATGAGCCGGAGGATCAGCCGAGGCTCTGGCCCCGATCAGGCGACAAACCTGAAAGTTGGACCCGAACCGACCAATACTGACGGATTCGCGTTGTTTGCAACGATTCTTGTGATTCCAGCGGTCTGGACGCTCGATCGTCGCTCCTGTCCTGCTCTACACTTTCAGTTTTACAGATAAAGAGTTGCTGCTGCTGCTGCTGTTGTTGTTTACTCACCGGAACGCGCAGGAAAAGAGCGGATTGATCCTTTAAAAGCAGACCCACGGTGGGCTCCAGAGGAAGCGGACGGAGGTGCGTCAGGTGTTTGAGCTCCCCGCAAACGAAGGAGGAAAACCGAGCCGAGGGAGACTCATGTTGAGCTGAACAGGCTGTTTGGTTCCCTTCATCCGCTGCAAACTCCACGCTGCGAGGAACGGGGGAAAATACCAATAAATCCACCCGTGACGCTTCACGCTGGAGCAGAGGAGTTTAGAAAGCAGCCGAGGCCCTGAACTCAGACCCCGTAAACTCCGGCTGACTTTGGCATGTTTTACATAACAGCATCGTCCGCTTTTTATGTTGACGCATCATGAAGCGAAAACATGGAGCTCCTTAAAGGGCCACGCCGCAGCTCAGAGGCTCACGTCCCCCAGCAGCCACAGCAGCGGCCCGCTGGGCTGACAGATGGCTGCTGCACATTATTACGTCTTTAAGAGCCTTTTATTCTGACACTGGAGGTAAATGTGACAGCAGGAACTCAGCGTTTCACCTCTGCAGGAAGACCGGAGGGCTCCAGAAAACTAAACTGCTCATTAAAAAGTTGATTTATTTCAGGAATTTATCTCAAAATGTCAAATTTATTGGAAAATGGAAATCCATAATCCAGTTTTTCATAACGCTAGAGCCAGATTTATCATAATATTTCATGGTAAAAGCAGGAAAACAACTTATTTGTGGATATATGTATTGTATTATATTTTAAATTTACTTATTGCGGTTTGTATTGGTGTTGCTATTTTTTTTTTTATCTCCAGGGTTTATTCCTAAAACAAATAAATACATATTCCACTAATGTAAAGAAACAAAAACAAAGAAAACCCCCACAATTTTGAAATTGCAATGTTTCCATTAACAAAGAAACACAATTAAAATAAAACATGTTTCATTTTAATCAACTAATTAAAAAATATGCTTCTTTGCCATCATCCTCCCAACATTTCCTGTTCGTCTTCTTCGTGGTTTACGCCAGTGGCCCGGTTGTTGATCACGTGTCTCCTCTGAAGCTAATAGTGTTTCCAATAGCAATTATGAAGTAAACCAGTTTCAATATGGCCAAAACAACAACAAACACTAGTGAGGAAAAAAATACAAATAATTCAGACAAAATGAACAATTTTAGGTTTGCATTTATTGCATTTATTGTGTCAACAATGAATCAAAATCTTATTATCATGTGGAATTTATCAAGATAAATTATAAATAATTAAAATATACTGAAAGTCTGAATATTAAATAACACAAATATTGGATCATTTCTCAATATTTTCTCATAATTTTCTGCCCCAAACAATAATAATGCTATTTTCTTATGACCTAGAACACAATGTGTTTTGAAAACATTTTATTATGCATCTGTAAATTGTTTTTATTTTATTTTGTTACTTTTCTCAGTCTCTTCATTGCGATAGCAGGTTGCATTGTGGATGTTTATCAAGCAGGGAGGAAACAGGAAGTGACAGCAGAACTTAAAACCATTTAAATACCTGTTTAGTCCTGCAAAGTGCCACATTTAAAGCAACCTTTTGGTAATATTCGATGATCAGTGGGCAAAAATAACAAATCAAATGATGCAGAAAAAAACCAAAGCCAAAATGGACAATATCATCTTCTTTTTCTACATAGAAATATATTTTAAAACAAATGTGAACGGATAAATTTGAAACACAAGAAACTGCATCCTTCTTTTAAAAAGAAGTTACATTTTAGGAGTTTGATCATTTTATAGATTTTTTTAGAGGGCTCAGCTGCAACACAAGCCCCTCCAGACTTATTGAAACCCCTGGTGAAAATACCCTGAAATCAATAAATCAATACTTTTTTTTTGTCTAGCTTTAATGCAAACTTCTTATTTCATTATAAGTAAGACAAAATAATTTACAAGTAATTTTTAGCAACATAGGAGAGGTTGTTTTCTGACAATAATTTCTTAATATTAAATTTTTAAAAGTTTTTAACAGTAAGACATTTACTATGTCATAAGTGAAATAATTTGGCAGTACCATATCTTCTTAAATGCAATATTAAGGAATTATTTACTTAAAACAAGCGTCTATATGTTGCTAAAGAGTTACTTTAACGTTTTTTTGTCTAATTTCAAGATATTTGTACTAGAAAATTGACTAAAACACTCCACATTTTTGAAAATATCATGTTAGACAGTGATCATAAAATCCTCAATGCACTCGTCTGCTGTTATGCTTTGAAATTAGAACAACACTTAAGTCTTTAATAACAATTTTTTTTATAAACAGCAGTAACAAAGTATTCCTTTAGTGATCATTTGCAGCTAAAAAATACTTCTAACATCAATATGTGAAAATCAGTTCTCTGATTATTTTTGATGAGCAAATCAATAATTGGAAGCAAAAGATGCTTAATAAAAGTTTTTTTTTAAACATAATTTGAACCAATTGAAGCTAAAACTGCAACTTGAGGAGTTAACAGATTTACATTTTTTCTTTTTATCTTAAATGTAAATGTTTACTTTTTTTCCCTTAATTACTGCTCTGAATGTCATAAAATAGCTTCATTTTTAGAGTCTCTGTGCTCAGGTTAATTAAATTAATTGACGATTATTTTAAAAAAATCGATTAATCTGATTAATTGTTTCAGCTGTAGTTTAAACTACAGGAGTCCTGAACAGGAAATTCATGAGAAGCAGGAAGTCTAAGGCTGCGTTCACACTACTGCCAAGCGACCCAATTCAGATGTTTCAGATGTTTTTGTCTTAATGCGACCTGTGTCTGACCTTCTCTTTGTGAAGGTCTGAACAACACAGGCCACTTGGACATCCGATACATATCAGATTGTTTCTGAATCCTAACGGTCCGGTCCTGAACGTCATAGATACTCGACAGACGTCACTATTCTGCGTCCTGATACGTGCAAGTGTAGCGGTGGCAAACAACCAAACGAGATTTTGATCTCGTTTGGTCAATCTGTCCATATTGTCTGAATTATCTTTAGTTTTAAAAAACATTAAAATAACATTTTTAATTTTTTATTTTTATTTAATAACTGTTAGAAAGTAACTCAGTTAGCGGTATCGCTACAAAGCCGTTAGCAAAAGAGACGCAACGGTCGTCACCTAGCAACGGCGGAGTGATATTAACCTCCTCGCAAAACAAAAGTATTGCGAGGGAACGCAAAAGAAAAAAATCCCCATGTTCCCTGGGGGGCTCCGTAGTTGTGCGCCACAGAAGCAGAAAGAATCACAATAATGGCGGTAAGGAGGATTAAGTTGTTAATGTGCTTCGGTCGGATATCAACTTCAAAATCGCAAGCTGTGCTACGCCGTTAGCATCCATGTTTACTTTCCGCAAACACTGAGCACGCTCTGTGTGACGTCATTGCGCCCTCTACTGCGCATGAGGGACATTTTCATGACCTGTTCACATGCGGGTCGCATGTATTTGTAAGCGTGAACGACCAGGACAAACACAGTCGGAGTTGGGTCACTTCAGGCTGCAGTGTGAACATAGCCCATTATGTCGTGTCTCCATGTTGAAGCTGCTGATGTTATCGTTTGCAGCTTGGAAACTTTTTAAGCTGCATGAAAACACAGCAGAAAAACCTTCAATCATTTTAACTCGCTCTGCCAACTGCAACTTTTCAGTGATTTTACCATCTGAACCTCATTTGTTGGGTTTCCATGTATTATTCAAATGTGCTGGGATGGTTCCACCATTGTCTGGACTGCTGTCTCCTCTCTTGTCTGCAAACAAGAGGCCGAGTGTTCAGCACTCACTGAGGCGTCATGAGCGCATTCTTATTACTTTTTGTTTCCAGTGCTGAGAGGCTTTTGCGCTCCAGAGTCAGCCTTTCCTTTAATCAGAACCAAAACTTCACTCTGTCATTTCTGGGGTTAGGATTAAACATAAAGGTCAAACTTTTCGTTTTCCATCACAGAAAACTGAGCAGTGCCAAAACACAGCTGATGACAGAAACTACTTTAATGCCTGTTTGAAACTCTTTTAACGTGTTTTATTTTTATTATTACTATTATCGGGGGAATCTCAAGAACAAATATATTTTCCCATTCCACTCAGCCGTTATGATTGACTTTTATGTACGTGAAATTTAAGGTTAAGCTCATAAAACAATCCAGTATTGACCACATTGAGGTCAAGATGTATTTAAAATCAAATAAAACTTGATAACTTGTCTAGAATTACATTTTACACTGCAAAAACACAAAATCTTACCAAGTATTTTTTGTCTAGCACTTAGTACACTTGAAACAAGATAAAACTAAATTAAAAGTATATTGTCAAGATATATGAGTTTGTTTTACATGTGTAATTTCTTTTAGTTCCACTGGCTGATTATTTCACTTATAACAAGACATTTTTTCTAAATTTTAAGTGAAATAATCTAAATAACATCCAAATGGGAAGGAAATGGTTACAGATTTTTTTTTCTTTTTTTTATCGTTTATGATTCTTTCCTTTCAAATTTCACTTTTAAAAATGATTACTCTGCAAAAACAAACTCTTACCAAGTATTTTCTGGCGCAAATATCTCAGTACAAACTCAAAACTCCTCAATTAGAGATTATTCTACGCATAAATAAAACAGTGGTTTGGTTAAATAGTAGTATAACCTTCAGATCGAAGTTTTTATCCATATATTGCTACATCTATCAGTCCCTGCAGTTTTTGGTGCTAATGCATAATTGAGTTTATTGCAAATTTCCCATAATAGTGACAAATATTGTTTATGTAATGCTACTTCCCACCTGCAGGAGGCAGAATGTCTTACTTCTGCTACCTCAGCCTCAATGTCAAAATGTCACATTTAGTATCATATTTAAGAGTAAATATCATTTCTTACAAAATCCATAATTTTGATTGATCAATTTTATTAAATTTTAAGAGATACTTATTGACAGCTATTTGTTAATATTTTAACAGTTTGTAAATGAATCAATATTTTCAGAAAATTATTTTAATTTGGCCCAAAATGAATGAATCTGTTGCAGCTTTACACAAACAAAAGTTAGAAACTTATTGATTTATTGCAAACGTGGTATAGTTCATACACTGCTACATAATGATGACACCTACAATCAGAAAGAGACAAAATTTTCACAGAAAAAAAAAGTAAAAGATGTTTGACAGCGTTTTGTTTACGGAAAAATATTCAGTAACAGAATCGATAATCTGTTGAAGATGATTTTATCCAAACTGTTGTTTAAGCTTGAAACACAGGAATCTGTTCATTACATTATCGTCATCTACCTCCAGCTAACAGGCAGCTAGCACAGCAAAACTTCAAGGCCGCTCGGCGAGG